CCCCCTCCGTCTATCTGTCTCTCTGTCTCATAAACACAACAATACTGCTCCTACTACTGCACAGTTGTCTACCGTTACAGAACTGAGAAGAATTTAATTTGATGTCTCTAATTGTATGCTTTAGTCTCTATGGTTGTATTTACACTTACTGTATCAACAAGCTTTTTTCCCCTCTTTTTTAAAAATCGTATTTTTCAGGCAGCAGAATTTCTTTGCCTGAAATGTGGCCCTGTTAATCAAAGTGTGTACAACTTGGCAAGAAACCTTGTTGGAGATGTAAGTAGGCACTAGTATGTTTTAAAAGACAAGAATAACAAAACAGCTTTCGATCTTCGCCAGGAACTTCTAGGTCTGACTAGATTGCCAAAGCGCCTTGTGTCTGTTACTGTTGTGGGCACAGTTTGTCTCGGTCTTGTTTTCAAACAGAGATAGTTCATTAACATTTTTCCTGAGTGTTGATAATTTTTTCGCTGTTCTGAGATATATTTCTTCATCATTATGAGTGTTGATAATTTTTTTACTGTACCGAGACACATTTCTTCATCATTATAATGAGTGATGATAAGTTTTTCACGCACATTTATTCATCATTATAATGAGTGATGGTAGGTTTTTCACTGTTCTGAGATATATTTCTTCATCATTATAATGAGTGTTGATTATTTTTTTACTGTACCGAGACATATTTCGTCATCATTATAATGAGTGTTGATAAGTTTTTCACTTCTCTGAGATATATTTCTTCATCATTATAGTGTGTTGATAAGTTTTCACTGTACAGAGATATATTTCTTCATCATTATAATCAGTGTTGATAAGTTTTTCACGCATATTTCTTCATCATTATAATGAGTGATAGTAAGTTTTTCACTGTTCTGAGATATATTTCTTCATCAGTATGAGTGTTGATAAGTTTTTCACTGTAGCGAGATATATTTCTTCATCATTATAATCAGTGTTGATAAGTTTTTCATGCATATTTCTTCATCATTATAGTGAGTGTATATTTCTTCCCTAGGAAAAGGAGCATAACCAAGCTTGGAACCTATTCTCGTACGTCGTTACAAAGTTCAAGGATGTCCATGACCTTCGTTTCGCAATGAGGGCCCTGATGAAGGTTTGTGCTCTTTGTGGGTCTGCCGGGGGCATTTCTTGTGACAATGTCATGGATACTCATCATAAGTATCATCCAATTAACCGTAGAATTCATCTGATCAGTTTCTCCCATGTATTTCAAGTATTGTCAAGGAACACAAAAATTGGGATTGAGTTTGTGGCAATGGTCTTATGCAAAGTCCACTGTCTTTGTACAAAAGCTTATTTTGTGTTTTGTCTCGTCCTTTGAATGCAAAAAGTGATTTTTCCAGTTTTAATATAATTTGAGTTGATCATCCCCTATGTGCTAAGCATAAAAGCCTGAATCAATCATGTTGAATCTTGTTTTTTAGACTAAATCAGTAAGACTTCATACTTTTATGCCTTTTTTTTATTCCCAGCATGATTTTAGAAATTATTTTTTGTAGCTTAGACATTTTCTGGCAGCATTTAATGACTTGATGACAGGTCATTGTATATAGGGAGTGCCCTGGTGTGTCTGTCAGCTTTTGATCTCTGTCCGACCTTGGGTGCGGACGGTTTGCTCCTTCTTTCCTGTCAAACACCTGTCAGTGGTGGTTGGCGGGTGCTCTGGTGTTGTTTGCTTCTTCTTTCCTATCAAACATCTGTCGTCCTTATCTCCCCTCCTTCTTTTTTGTGTGTTTCTCTCTTGTAACATATAATCTATTCTTCGGCACTTATTATATATATGACCTTATTGTGTTGCAAGTGCTGTAAAACTCTTACTAAAAGTAAATACCTGTCACCCTTATATCTCTTCTCCTTCTTTTTTGTGTTTGTTACTCTCTTGTAACTCCTCTAATCATAGGTAGCACTTATATGACCTAATTGTGTTGCATGTGCCTTAAACCACTTACTAAAACAAAACTAACTTTGGACAGTAGCGTAGTGTGTTGACAATATTTTGACCTCATAATTTTGCAATGTCTCTTTTGTTTTTGGAAACGAGTTCTATTGAGGTTGTAGTTTGTTTGCACAATGCAAAAACACAGTGAGATAATAATAATAGCATTTGTATAGCGCAAATCCCCGCTAGAGAGCAAGCTCTATGCGCTTCACAATCTATACTATTACCCCAGCAGACCTGAGAGCATTCTGAAACAACCTCAACTTCATGGGAAGCATACAGTGCAAGCAGCCATTTATGGGCGCTAAAACACTAAGATACTGACGAGATCTTTCACTGTCTATGGCCGGGTACCCATTCCCATCTGGGTGAAGTGAGGAAAATTTGTGTAAAGTGTCTTTCCCAAGGCTCGAACCCCCGAAGCCGCAGATAATATAAAATATATTTTATTGATCATCCATTGGAAGAACATAATTGTATGCTTTCACAAGCTTTTTTGGCTCAAAATATAACAATACATAACGTATTACCAACAGTCATGCAAGCATGCACATATATACAGACTCACTCACACATACATGTGAGAGCGCATGCACACGCACATGCACACACACACACATGCACACACACTCTTGAACTCCGAACAGGGCACAAAAATTGTGATCCTTAAAAATTTATCTGGCTATAGCTTGTATGGAACTTTGAAAATTAAACAAAAATTAACTTTCTACATGCCTCTTTTTTCAGAATCCTAACAGCATGGCTCTTGGTATGCTGAATGGAAATGCTCGTCTTATCTCTGGCTCTTATAAATTGGCCCTTGGTAAGATTGTATGATCAATGTGATAATAATTATAATAATAATATTAATGATGTAAAGTTCAAGATTGGAAATTCAGAGCAGTATAGGTGCCGAACCATATGATCAATGTAATAATAATAATAATAATAGTAATAGTAATAATAATAATATTAATGATAGGAAAAACAAGATTGTAAATTCAGAGCAGTCTCGGTGCGGAACCAGCAACCAAACAAGGAACCATCTGCTACAAGCCTGCCCAGTGCTCCAGGCACTTGGGAAGAAATGTTGGCCCAACCATAGGCAGAGAGAGCCACAACTCTATGGGGGCCTAGAGGACCTGTGGAAAACAGCAACCTTCACACCAGAGACTGAGGTGTCTGTTTAGAGATGAACAAGAAAAAAATAATGATAATAATTATATTTATATGTGTCACGGCGCGGTGAAATCTGGCGCTCGTCAATGTTTGGGCATGTGGAGGTATTGGTGTCAACTTAAAGCTTATTTATTATTTGTGTTGCTTTCGTTGAAAGAAATACCCATCTATCTTGAATAGAAGTCAAGATATTTGTGATTGAAGGAGGAGAGATCGCCCGCTTTCAGTGGTAAAAATAGCAATAAAATGGCCGTCAAAGTTTGACAATTTCAGTAGCTAGAGAGTCCCTGAAAACGATAACATTACAAATGTTGTGCCTTCAATCAACGTTTTTCTGTGAAATGTTCAATTTTTTCCTCTACTTCTTTTGTTTGTTTGTCACACTATTTCTGGGGGGCCTTGATAGTCGAAGCAGACTTTGTGCTGTTAAAGCTAGAGAGGTGAGCAGAGTAAGTCTGATTCCCTGTAAAGACTTCTCTGTTGACATCCACCCTTTGGTGCTCATATGACCTTACACAGTTACAAGCGCCGTAAAACCTCTACTAAAACTAAACTAACCTTTATTTGCCAGGCGAGTACCTGTCCGTGTTCCGGCAGTCCCCGCACGCCCTGGCCGTTCTGTGCTGTGCTCTCTGCCTCCTGCACATCACCTCACAGCTACACGCCGCTCGCAGGAACCAGCTCATTCCGCAGGTGGGGACATTTTCTCACTCAGTGCTTTACAACAGCAGCATTATCGTCATCATCATCATTATCTTCTTCATCATCATCAACTTCATCATCATTGTAGGCTGCAAATAAACAAAAAACCGTGGAGATTTGTAAGATTTTAAGAAATCATCATTGCTGTAAGTACAATGCGAAAAAACAGCAAAAAAGTTGAAGTAGACTTGAGCGTTTGACGTTTTAAGACTAAAATATGTTCAATGTCTCACCCTTATGAGCTTCTTTGGGGACATGAATAATCATAATCATCACCATCATCATCATCATCATCATCATCACCATCATCATCATCATCATCATCATCACCACCACCATCATCATCACCATCATCATCATCATCATCAGCCTTTCTTCCCCTGGGCCGGGGTATAAGCCACCAACAAGAACTCTCCATCTACTTTTGTCCGGAGCTCTCGTCTTAAACTCTATCCAGCTGTATCCCTTCTTCTTTATGTCTGATCTAAGTCCCTCCTCCAAGTACTTTGAGGCCTTCCTTTCTTTCTCTTTCCTTGTGGATTCCATCTAAAAACTTGATGGGTAATATTTGTTTTTTTGTTTTCTCATGGTGTGTCCAATCCATTTCCATTTTCTCTTCCTCATTTTTTTTCTGATGACAAATGCCTATCTATAGCTTTACGACATCAGCTAACAATACTGAAAAACAAAAGCATAACTGATCGTGTCCACTCCCTGAATACCAAGTGTGAAACATCTTTTCATGTCAGGCAGCTGATTTCTAAAATATTCAGTGGGTGGTTGATGGGTGCTCTGGTGTGGTTTGCTCCTTGTTTCCTATCAAACATCTATCATCCTTATCTCCCCTCCTTCTATTTTGTGTTTGTTACTCTCTTGTAACACCTCTATTCTTCGGCTTTTATATGACCTTATTGTGTTGCAAGTGCAGTAAAACTCTTACTAAAACTAAAATAATCAGAACAGATTTATAAATAAAGAAATTCATTTGTGAACATTTTGCTTTGTAGAGGAATGTTTGTCAGAAAATGTAAAAGTCTACTGTATATTACCGTTCACGTTCTTTTGTGGTTTGATGTTTGTCAATGCTTTTGAGACAAGGATGTGGGTGGTTCGCAAGTGCTCTGGTGTAGTTTGCTTCTTCTTTCCTATCAAACATCTATTGTCCTTATCTCTCCTCCTCCCTTTTTTATGTTTGTTACTCTCTTGTAACACCTCTAAACTTCGGCACTTATATATATGACCTTATTGTTGCAAGTGCCGTAAAAGTCTTCATAAAACTAAAGATGAGACAAATGAGAGTGTTGGTTAGGAAAAAGAAGAAAATATCGTATGTGTTTGTGGCAGGGAGTGTGTGTGTTGGGGATGGTGAACAGACTGAGCGTGTGTGCATGCTTATGTACTGAAAATATCCACAACCGTTGGGCACTATTAGGACAAATTTCAAATTTCTCTCTGTGTGTGAGGTCAATAAAAATTGTAAGTTTGGCTGTCATTTTTCCCATTTCCCCCTCTGCAGATCCTGTCTTTGTTAAATGTTTACAAAGAGATGAGAGGGGAGTGTCAGGAGGCCTACTATAACATCGGACGGGCCCTGTACCAGATCAGTGAGTACCTCAGTAGTACATGTTTGTAATTGGTCGCTTTTAAGCACAAGGGGGCTATCCCGAAAAATGCTGTTTTGATCAAATCAAAGGTAAAGTTTTTGCCCCTTGTTCAGTTTCTTTAAAAGACAAGGAGAGTTTTCTCTATAACCAAACAACTATACACACTAATGAAACCAGACTTCTCCGATAGGTAGGGCAATGCACCCTTTTGGTGTAGGTCAAGATATCTGGAAACCTCCGAAATCTAGTTTAGCCCGCTTGTCCTTAAAAGCGACCTATTAAGGATGGGAAGATACAGTAGGTGTCCTTTGTGGAGCCAGGAGGTGTACTATAACATAGGACGGGCTCTGTACCAGATCAGTGAGTACCTCATTAGTACATGTTTGTATTATGGATGGGAATAAACAATCCGATAACGTCCTTAAGTTCATTTTTGCTGGTCGCTATTGTCGGCTTTTCCTGGTCTGAGAGTATGTTTCACACGAACACGCGGCTACAGCGGCAAGCGGAAGTGTATATGTGACACCGAGGCTCGATCGGGAAAAAATCAAGATCTACTTTCGCTTTAGTTACCACGCAGAAATTTTCCAGTAATAATCTGATAGATAACGCAACATTTGTTTTGTCAGGCTCGCCATCGTGACCGGTCAGTGAACCTGCGCGTTCGTATCACATGATAAGGCATCGTGTGAGTACCGGCGGTCTGAGTGCTGTAAAGTATAGGACTTCGGATTGGGTGGGGGTTGGGGGGTTATTGGGGTTTTTTTTGTAAAGATACACGGGGGGGGGGGGGGGGGGGGGGGGCTGAAAGCAACGCTAGGAGACAAAAGCAAATTTTTAGTGTTTAGAATACTGATAACTACTATAAGAGCTCTCTGCAAAGCACGCGTTGGTGCAGGCCTTGTGTGGAATCGGGATCCGTCATGGCTTGTTATTGAACTAAAGTGTTTGTGTTTCATTGGATGGGGTGATGGTAAAGTATATCTCTGTATTTTAGCTTTCTTTTCAAGATTGGCAGATTTTCAGTGTCACTGCATCTTGCCCTCCCACAGTTCTTACACCACACCTCTCACACTGAATAGGTCTACTTGAGCCATTCAAGTTATTACTCTACTTTGAGTTTGAGAAATAATTTTCGTCTTTACATTTATAATATGAATCATGACACCCAGACTGGTAGCTGACAGTCAATGTTCTGGTTCTAGGCCTTTTCTCAAGCTCAAAAGAGGATTCATTTTCATACAGTTTATGTAGGCGAATAGGATGAGGGGAAAATATAGATAAGTAGGAACAGACTGAAATACCTAAGTCACACAAGACCCCAATGCCACACTGACAGACATGTTGTTGACTGGATATAATATACCTACATGTGTGTGTGTGTATTCACAAACATACATATATATATATATGAATATTTAGATAGGATAGATTTATAGATATAAATAATAATATAGATATATAAATGGAGAACGCGCTGTCGTTGTTATGTAACATGCCCCTGGAAAATGGATGAGGCCCCTCCCCTGGAAAATTAAGAAGCTGGGTTGGCAGTCACCCAGTATTATAATCATCTCTTTGTTTGAAGACTATACTACAAGATGTGCATATATATGCATTCATTTAAAGACATTTTGACTTTTTATCTTTGATAGATGGGCTTTTCGGGGGATCATTGTTGACGCGCAGCGGCCTGATTTTTCCATCGAATCAGGGTCTTGAAAAAAATTTGGGGTCTTGAAAAAATTTCCAGTATTTAGTGGGGACCCTGCCAGTGGCCTAGCGGTTATGCTCTCAGACTCACAACTGTAAGGTCGTGGATTCGAATGCTGTCAGGGGCCCGACGTTATGGCGTTGGAAAAGGCACTTTGCACAAATTTCCTCACTTCACCCAGGTGGGAATGGGTACCCAGCTATAGGCAGTGAAAGATCTTGTCAGTTTGGTAGTGTTTGAGCTCTTAACGGGAGGAGCAACCCTTGAGGACCCATTTTCTGTTTGTTGCCCGAGGTCAAATCTAAGTACGTATGTTAGGCATAGTAAAATCTCTTGATACGCAATTTTATTTTGGTATAGCTACAGCGGTTGCTCTGGAAACGGCCGCCATCTTGAAAATAAACAATGAATTTCAAATCCCTACGGCTTTCTTATTTACTGACCAAATATGGTGAGAGTATACCTGAACGAGACCTTATCAGTTTAACAGCGAGTTTTTTTTCAATAAGTGCAAAAGAAAAAAGAAATGAAAATTTTCCCAAAGTGTAAAAGACTTTTTCAAAATTTCGGTTGCGTTATTGCTTGCCAATGGAAAAGTGTTATTTTTTTTAGCTAATATCTGTCTGTTACATTGATGGCAGCCTTTCCATCTATATTTATTGAAAGTTTCGAGTCAAAAGGATGAAAACTAAGGAAGGAGTATGGGAAAAGCTGCAAAAAAATGATATTTTGCGAAAAACGACAATTATTGTTAAAATTCACAATATTAACCCACTCTCATGTTTTCAAAGGCAATTCACGAGGAGAATAAAGACTTTCTCAACTGTTTCTATGCTATTTTTAGACAAAGAACTGGTTGATCTTCAAAAATCAGCCAACATCTCAATGTGCATAGCCTTACCCAAAATCGGCAAAATCAAGGGTAGATCCTCCCCCTTAATCAGCCGCTTGCGCTGCATGCTTCCTGGGAAGCTGAGAATGTTTCTGAGTGCTCTATGGTCTACTGGGGTAATAATATAGTGTAAAGTGCATAGAGCTTGCTTTTGAGTGGGGATATGCGCTATGCAATTTCTATTTTTTGTTATTATTATTATTATTATTATTATTATTACTGCAACTGTTATAAAAGAGAATACCCATGTTTATGTGTTTATTGATTAAAGGTGGTGATTGGTTGGTACTCTGGTGATGTCTGTTCCTTTAACTTCTTTTAGTGCTGCAAATCTGTAAATCTTTGGGAAATTTAGCATATATATTATTTTTATTACCATACCATACAAACTTGCACCATAAACTAAAATTTTACATTTACTATATTATAGTTTATAGTTTTAAAAGAAGAACACAGATTGTATTCAGTTCCTTCTGGAAGGTTTTTTTAAAAAGAATTCAAATTACATCTTGAAGTGCTTTTTTTTTGCTTTTGGTTGTTCTAACATTGTTTGTGCATTGTTCTAACATTGTTTGTGCATTGTTCTAACATTGTTTGTGCATTGTTCTAACATTGTTTGTGCATTGTTCTAACATTGTTTGTGCATTGTTCTAACATTGTTTGTGCATTGTTCTAACATTGTTTGTGCATTGTTCTAACATTGTTTGTGCATTGTTCTAACATTGTTTGTGCATTGTTCTAACATTGTTTGTGCATTGTTCTAACATTGTTTGTGCATTGTTCTAACATTGTTTGTGCATTGTTCTAACATTGTTTGTGCATTGTTCTAACATTGTTTGTGCATTGTTCTAACATTGTTTGTGTTTTGTTCTACAGATTTACACTTTGCTGCCATACACTACTACAAGAGAGCACTGCAGTTTCCTCCGATGGTTTCTGACCAACATGTGAGTAGGAGACTAAAGTGTGGTAAAAAATGTGTGATGTTACTTATTGTCAAATATCTCCTTAATTATTGAGCATAGATTCTCCAACGTTTGCACAATGACTTATATCAATTTGTCTTAACTGATGAATATTTTTTCAAACACATGTACACAGTATTCTAAAAAATTCCTCAATAAATACTAGAGATTTATAGAATTTCATACATTTATGAAGAAAAGTTTTTTAATCTAGCCTCAATTGTTGTGGAAAAATATGATTAAGTTAAGACAAATTGATACAAACTGCTGTGCAAAGTATGAGTGACGGTGATTCACCTGTTTTAGTAATAGTCGTATAGGGTTTTAGGGCGCTCGCAACTGCGTAAGGTCATATGAGCGCGCTTTCCATCTATCTAGAACAGAAGTCAGAATAGTTGCGATTGAACAGGGTGGGGTTGCCTGGTTTCATAGGTAAAGTTTGCGAGAAAATGGCTACCAACGTTTGGTGATTTTCCTAGTTTGATACTCCGTGGAATCTGCAGACAATGTACATTTGTTGTCCTGGCGGCCCGGACATTTTCTGCTGTAGTGTCAATGGGGATAGGTCATCTTTCCTGTCTCAGGGCCGTGTGTGTGTGTGTGTGTTCCACAGTTTAGTCCATTTCTCCACACTGGCATTTTGGTCTTCAAAACATTTGTACTGCATGTGATGTCTGAGTAGTGTGGCAATGACAAGAGTGCGTTGCTGTTATTTTAGTGTCAAATATTTTTGTTTTCCTTCAGGGTACCTTTGATTTGACGAGAGAGATTGCCTTTAACCTGGCACAGATTCACCAGAAGAGTAAGAACTTTGAGGCGGCGCGCTACTACATCGAGAGATACTGCGTGATCTGATGTCATTGGTCAGACTCCGGTGGGTGTCGGAGTAGAGCTGTCCTAGATGTTCTTGTTGTAGAGTGAACGCTCCTTTCAAATTTGTCAAGTTATGGTTATTTATTGCTGTTTCAAATATAAAATACATATTATATATAATAACTTTGTTTCCCTCAATCACAGGCTGAGTGAGACACAAAGAAGAAGGCTTGCCGCTTACCTCTCGTGTGAAACTGAGGGCTTCCGGTTACAATTAATGTAACATTATGATCCCCTTCAACAACAACTGTCTGTATTTTGAGTACTTTCTACATGTGATCACTCATGTCTGTGGTGTAGCAGTTAGGCACGTTGCCATCACATGCACAAAAGACTGGAGTTTGATTCCCATGTGGGGGAGCATGTTTATGGACTATCTTAGTCTGTTTTCTGCAATGTGATGGACCATCTTAGTCTTTCTACTGCACAATGCTGTATCCCTCTCAGCATGGGCTTGGTCGGTCCTGACAGAGCCTGCCTCCTAAATGATCTAAGTTCTGTAGATGGGGGGCAGAAGAAACACGTACGCTTTAATCCTTTTGTGACCTCTAGGACATACGCCATCTGTCATATGTGGGTGGTTGGCGGGTGCTCTGGTGTGGTTTGCTTCTTCTTTCCTATCAAACGTCTATCGCCCGTATCTCCCCTTCTTCTTTTTTATGTTTGTTGCTCTCTCATACACCTCTAATCTTCTGGCGCTCATATGACATTATGCAGTTGCGAGCGGCATAAAACCTTTTCTAAAACTAAAACTAAATGCCTTCCGTCATATTTTCTTATACAGCGAAGGAAGCAAATGGCTACTACGACATACAGCATTCATGATTCCTTTGCTAAGCTGTAGGAACACGATGGCAGACTCTGTTCATCGTAGTTTGCGTTCCGCTTACATGATGTACTACTTCTATTAGACACATGTGTAAAACTCATTGCAGAGTCACGTTCAGCTATATTTTTGTCCATACATAGAAATCTTTTCCATTTAGAGATAGTAGGATTCACAAACCAGGTCTAATTATAGGCAACCAACAGCTAAATCTGTCACTTCTCTCTGCCCGTGGGGTTCTAAAACTGCCCGGTGAAGCTCGAACTGACCCTGTGACATGAAGGTGTTTACTCTATCCTTACGCCCTGGGGTCATTTTGTACCCCCGGGGTTGTATTCTTCGCATTTTAGAATACTTCTAATGTGAAGATCTCTTTGAAACTTTCAGTATTTCTCAAAAAATCATTTTGACAGACTACTATGCAAAGCGTACGGATCGGATTAACGAGTAAATTTCCTCTTTGGAAAATGGTGGCACAGAGTTCCCCACGTCGTATGGATACGATAGTAGAACACGACATACGGATAGGGTTAAAGATTTTTAAAAGTTCAGCTACATGTGATCAGCGTTATTTCTGTTTATTTTCCATAGAGGCAGATTCTGAGCGTCGTCAGCTGTCACAGACGCACACAGATAGATCGAGAGTGACGGGGACGAAGACTGGCAGCCTGTCTGTGGTCAAAGGACTACACTTGACATCCTCACCACTCTAGAAGCTGGTGTGTTTCTCTGAGTTTAGAGCCAAGTCTTTGTATCAAATGACTACACTCTGCTGCTGGCATGAATAAAAGTCTTCCTCCAGCAAAAATTGGGGTGGACAAAATTAAATATTCCATCCTGTGGTTTTTCTTTAAACTCTTTATCTCCTGCAAGCCACTCCCAGCAGCTCAATGTCAGAGCCACTTTGTCGATGAGTCGCTGGCAGCGGCTGGGGCACATTCCTTAACGACGACTGATGTAAAATTACTTTTTGGCAATTGTTGAAAACAAGTCTCTTTTATTGGATGACGAGCTGTCGAGATAGATTAACTTGTTTTGATGACCAGTTTAGTGACATATATTTCAATTTAAGATTTCATATCAAAATAGGGCCCCGGCATAGTGGGTTTACCCCCCCCCCCCCTCCCATGGAGATAAAGAGTTAAACTGAAGACGGCTGTCTGGATGGTGTGAATTGTATTTGTTGCCATAAGACAGAGATCACAATGTGGATGCGATTACTACGTAAAGAGAATGTCTACTGCTGCTACACTTGGGCACTAATAACTCAAATGTGCAGGGGTTTGACGATGTGTTCAACAAATCTAGAATTCGGGTTTACCGATGGAGAAAAATTAAAGAAATATCAGTTTGGGAATAGCAAAGTATCACAAGGTATCAGTGATTTCAAGTTTTTCACGTTTCTGTTGTCTGTGTCTGCATGTACACTGTTGGGCTGTGTGAAATGACAGTGCAATTTGACATTTTGTCGTCTGTTGATGCATGTTTTTTTTAGCTGAGTGCAAGAGAGGGGCTGCCCACCCAGTGTGGGGGTTCCACCTATGTTGGTGGGATAGAGAACTGTTTATGTCTTTATGTCTCATTGTTTACTTTGGGGGAGCGGGGGTGCAAATGATGATGAATATATATATGTATATGGTCGCTTTTAAGCACAAGGAGGCTGTCCCGAAAAATGTTGCTTTGAGAAAATTGAAAGTAAAGTTTTTGCCCCTCGTTCAGTTTCTTTAAAAGACAAGGAGAGTTTTCTCTATAACCAAACAAATATATACACATCAATGAAACCAAACTTCCCCAACAGGTAGGGCAATGCCTACTTTTGGTGTAGGTCAAGATTTCTGGAAACCCCCGAAACCTGGGTTAGCCCGCTTGTCCTTATAAACGACCATATGAGAAAGTTGGCAGGGGAGGGGGGAGGGGGCAGATGATGATGAAGATATGAGAAAGTGTTGAAAACTTATTGTTTTGACTGTGTGAAGTTAGTACAGTGGAAACCATATATAACAGGCCCGGTAATAACAGGGATTTTTTAAATCCCCGTTTTTTCCCACTCTTTGTCTATATTAAAAGTTACCGACAATAACAGGGCCTCATCAGAGCTCAACCGGTTATAGCAGGGACAAAGGCTCGTTAACAATGTGTAAAAAGTAAGACACAGAGAGAGAGAGAGAGAGACATTGCAAGCACACGCAGCGTGTGAAGCGAAAGAGGGCTGCGGTGTGCTTGCAGACCTCGATCTAGCCCGAAACCTACACGTAGCAACACAGACGCGTAATGTGTCACCAACGATGTCAAGCGCAAGAGAAAATGCATTTCAACTGACAAAAATACGAAATAATCCAGGCTGTTGACAAAAAGCAAGCTCCACTGGCAGAGATTTGTCGTCAGTTCGACATTCCACTAGGGTCGATTCACATCATTATCAAGGATAGAGAGAGAAGATAGTGGTAGCATACTCCAATGGAAAGTTTGCTCAGGATCGAAAGAAGATGAGACTACCCGATGCAGATGCTGACGACCAAGCTCTTCTGGTGTGGTTTGATGAGGCAAGGAGAAAGTTGGTGCCAAAACCTCTGTTCGTGGGTACTTGTGGCGAGGGAAACTACCCATGAATAAGTACAGCTGGATTAGTCCACAAATGCTTACTTTCCTTTGCATTTCTGATTTAACAGGGATCGGATATAACAGGACATTTTCTCTACTCCCACCATCCCTGCTATATCAGGTTTCCACTGCATTTACTTAATAGTATTGACAGTCCACAGACGTGTCTCCTGGAGTCTCAGCAGCTGTTAGTATTTTGTGTTTGTTCTTGAAGAAAGACTGTATG